AACATCCTTGCAGTTTATCATGAAATCCAATTGGTTGGGAACCTAAAAGCTGTTAATTAGAAGGGATTCTGCTGACAAATTGTACTTATCAATTATAAGTCAAAATTATGAACAAGGTTTTAGGCGCATTATTGAATGCTTTTATAACTGCGACGGTATAGCGCTGCTGTTTTTTGTCCTCATAAAAGAAGGTCTCTACACCGAATGTCTGTCATCTAACCATGCTTATCACAGAAGTTTTCTCGAATACTTCAAATGATTCTCACCTCCTTTGTTACCTGATTTTAACAGTGTGGCCGTTGAACAATTAAATTTAACTTTTCCTTAGATTGAGGATAATCTATCAAAACAAAGAAAAGCTCTTAGACTATAAAAATTTTGCAATAAGTTGGTAAGTTTTTAATCAGTTGTTATCACAAGTATATCTCTTTGCTAATATTGTCACTGAAGTGTTCGCTGATGCTGGAGTAAAACAAATTAATGTTGTACTATTTGGAGCTTGTCAGTCTGTCCTGGACGCATTAAGATAGTTGTTTCATTTTCATCACTTGTGCCTTGTCAGTTTTACCTTGTAATTTTGTCTACACGGCTAAGACATTACGCTTCGCCAAATGTGACGAAACCGCTGCCGCTATTGCCAAGAAGTTTGACATTCACTAAAGACTGCTGAACAAGATATCAAACAGTGGAGAAGAACGAGATGTTTGTCAGGTAAAGCCACGGTTAGCATTGGGAGCTTCCACAAAATCATAAAAACGAAATCCTAGCCATGACTTCAGTCTCAATAGCATTGCCAAAAGCCGGATTTGAGCTGGTCGGTGCAAACATTGCTACAGAATGAACTGGGTCTTCGTAACCGCCTTACTCATGGGAGAATTTAAAAGATGAGGTTAATGTCTTATGAGCGGATGAGAAGATTTTCCGTCAAGAAGAATAATTTGCAAAATGATCTCCTTCTTATCCATCTAATCGAGAAAAGTAGTCACGGAAAAAACATGTAAAAAGGTCCTTGTTTTCAAAAGACTTGTTGATTTAGAAATTATGACGTTGAAAAAACGCCGCTTTTTTTATCGCTAGAACTGTCAATATCAAGGCCAAAGTGTACCAAGTGGAAATCCTAAAAAAGACGTTTCCCAAAAGTAAAAATGCTTTGATTAAATTCCCGACAAGACGGAACAGCAAAATGCAACAAGATCGATAATCGCCTATCTCGAACCCTAAAGTACTACATTTTTTACCAAGAACCAGAACCCAGTCTAGTAGACTAAATCTGAATCCAGGGATTTCCCATGTTGATTGGAGAACAAGGAGATTACAAGCATGGAGTATATTCGTCGAGAACTGACATCTGTTTTCAAGCACTAGGCTACCTCTGCCGCAC